GAGAGATGGAGGAGGGGGACTTGAGGGCGACTGGATTGGGTTGTGGACTTCCCGCTAGTGTCTGCTGAAGTTGGGGGAATGGGGTAGCGGCCCTTGGTCCCTGACCACCTGTGCCCACTCACGTTAGTGGGCAGTGGACACACAGCACTGTTCCCTCATGGCCAATGTCCTTCCTCGACCGGTTGGGAGCTGGGAAAAGACCACAAGCAGCCCCTTGGCTGGGCCCCGAAAGGATGAAGTGGATGATAAGCACTGCGGTGGCTGGGACGGTGTCCCCCCGAAAGGGATGTTCACATCCTAACCGCTGGTACCTGTGATGACGACGTGATTGGGACACAACAGGGTCTTGGCAGATGCGATCAAGCAAAGATGAGGTCATCCTGGATTCGGGTGTCCCCCATCCAAGGACTGGTGTCCTTAGAAGAAGAGGATGTTCGGACACAGACACGGAAACACAGGAAGACGCCACGGGAAGGCCGGCAGGGAGGGGAGCGAAGATAAGCAGAGCCCAGACCCCTGCCAAGCTCCAGGGGCGCGAGGGGGGCCCCCGAACCCAGTCTCCCTCACAGCCTCTGGGAGCAAGTCTGCCGACACCTCGATTTCAGACTTTGGGTCTCCAGAACCGAGAGAGAATATATTCTTGTGGCCTCACGCCACCCCATTCCTGGTTCTTGGTTCTGGCAGCCCTGGGAGTGTGCTCCGGCTCCCGGGTGTCAAGCACTCACCATGCTCCCCAGCATGGTGACACCGGGTGCCACAAGGTCCCCTCTGTGCCACCGAAAGCTAAGGACTGTAGGTGTCCCTGTTTTATAGACGAGGACATTAAGGTGCAGAAAAGCTAGGTGACTTTCCCAAAGTCATGCAGCCAGCGTATGGAGGAACTTGGACGCGTCCCAGGTGTTCTCGGTTGGAAGCCCTAAATTATGCAACGCTGACCTGTAACCAGGAGCCACAGGTCCAGGCACACGAGGCCCTCGGGCTGCGCCCGTCCAGCTCATCACAACACGCTTCCCAGCCAGAAATCCCTGCGCTCCTTGCCTCAACTTTATCCGTTATCACTGGAGCACTGTGATTTATCACATCTCTCCCAGGAGACGCTTGGGTGACAGATGTGGCTTGGAATTTGATAAGCACGTCACTTCCACACAGCCTTTCCATCTGTGTGGGTCCTCACCCTGGAGATGAAGGGACAGCTGAGCAAACAGCTCGCCCCCTCCACGCTGGTCTGAGCTGAAGTGCAAACTCCAGAGATGGCATGGGACAGTGAGGGAAAGGTCATTTCCACTCAGAGGGACATTTGAGAGCACGGCCATTGCCGCTGCTGCTGGCGCTGTGGCGACTTTTCTGCTGCTTTTTTCTCCCAGGGCCCAGGTGGAGGAAGTAAGGTCTTCTCCGGCCACGTAAGGCATGCCTGTCCCATTTGTGGGGACGTCACCAGTGCCTAGCCCAGGAGTCCCAACAGAGTTCGTGGAATGGATGGGTGGATTGGAGTCGTGGCTGCAGCGCAGACTCAGACCCAGCTCCTCGCGACACGCAGATGGTTGGTGTGTTCGTGGTTGTGTAAGAAATGCGAAAAGGTGATCATTTGCAGACAGGGCAGCCTCACCTTGCAACTCGGGGCTCAGAGCATCAGAGGAGGGGTGGCGAAGAGCATGAACGTGGGAGGCAGGTGACCTAGGAAGTGCCACTGCCTCCTGGAGTGACGAGTCACTAACTTGTCACTTCACTGGCTTCGTCATCTGTGAAGTGGGGATAGCCGTCGTGCCTACGCGGCACAGTTGTGTGAGAATTAAATGAGATGGTGCACAGTGTGAGAGAGTGGGCGGGGTGGGTGCTTTTATCAGCCCCACGCCAGTCACCTTCCATGGGGCATGGGTCCCCCCCCTCCGACACCCACACCGGGCCACGCCCTTTGAACAGCAGCTGTTCTTGGTGCCAGGGCCGCTCTGCCTGCTGGGTGTCTCGGAGTCGGCGGCAGACACTCGCTTGCTGAGTGTCAGCTCGCTGGCAGCTGGAATCGGGAACCTGAGGTCTAGAGCGTGAGTGTGCACTTCCTGCAGCGTATCTGGGTCAAGGTTTACAGAGCTAGGTGGTTTGAGCCTAAGAGCACAGTCCCCCTCCCTTTGGCTGGAATGTGCCCCCCCCCCCCGTTTCTGCCTGGCCGGTCCTGTGACACTTCCAGTCTCTGTTAAGCATCATGTCAGAGTGTCGTCTGCTGACCACTGGGTCCTGCTAAGTCCTCCATTGAAACCCAGAGCACCCCACACTTCTTCTTCAGGGGTTCACTCTCAATTGAAGTAGGTCATTATTTGTGCTGGAGTGTAAGCTTCGTGAGGAGAGGGACCTTGTCCCTCTGCATCCCCAGGGCCTCGCTCAGTGCCTGGCACATCCCGGACACGTGGTTAATGCTTACTGAATGAGTGGGTGACTCGGCCACCCTCCCAGGCCCTGGATAAGACCAGGGGTGGCACAAAGAACTCCATCTCTGGCGCCTCACTCAATTGAAGCTTTAAAAAAAAGGGATTGAAAAGAGTGTGCATCATCAGACCCAGGAATTAAACAACCCTACGTGACAGGGGCCACCCCCGACCATGCTGGGTGGCATTAGTGCATGTATGAATTTTTTTTTTTAGGGGGTGTGAATTTGGATGTTTCTTGCTGCATAACAGATCACCCTAAAACTCAGAGGTCTAAAGCAACAGCAATGATCTGTCATTTCTCCTAGCCTCTGTGGGTCAGGAAATTGGGGTGCTTGCTCGTTGGTTGTGGTTCGGGGTCTCTCTTGAAGTGGCCGGAGCTGGGGCATCCGGTGCCGCCTGGACACCAGCTCTTCATTTGGTCTCAGGGCCTCTCCACGTGGCCTCATTCTGTGGCCTCAGGGCTCCAAAGGCAGGTGACCTAAGAGTACAGACAGAAGCCACTGCCCCAGAGGTCACGCAGGGTCACTTCCACTGTCTTCTGTCTGCTGAGGCCATCACACAGGCCTGCCCAGTTTCAAGGGAAGAGAGCATACACATCTTGAAGATGGTGAAGTAGGCAGTATCTATAGACAGGTTTCAAAACCACCCCAGGATATCACTTCATGACCCGGGGAAAGCTCTCGAAAAGCTCTCCGAGGAGGGGCAGAGAGATTTTTGTTGAAAAGGAAAGCTCTCTCTGTCTGGCTGATTTCACGGAGCATGATACCCCTAGGTCCCTCCGTGTTGTCGCAAATGGCAAGATTTTATTCTTTTTTATGGCCGCGTAATAGTCCATTATGGGTTTATGTATATACACGACATCTTCCTTGAAAAAGGTGAAGGGGGAGTATGAGGTACAAACTAAGTCACAGGGATGTAAAGTACAGCCCAGGGAATGCAGTGAATAATATTGTAATGACCATCAGTGGTGACAGACGGGCACTACACTTATTGTGGTAACCATATTGTAAGGTATGTAAACTTTGAATCACTGTATTGTACACCCGAAATGAATATAATATTGTATGTCAACTCTATTCTAATAAAAAACGAGAAAAGCAAAGCTTGTTAGACTATTAAGGAGCGAAGGGACATTTCCTTCTCAGCCCCACTAACGACTGCTGAGAAATTGTTAGGAGAATCAAGATAGAGGAGCCTGTGGTCACCTGCTGACCATGTTCAATGAATCAGTGTTGCTAGTGCCTCAGAGAACAGCACATTTAGTGATTCGAGTCAAGGTGAGGGGAGGCGCTCGTTAAAATGTAGACGCCCAGGCCACTGCCCAGAGCGCCGATTGAATGACAGGTGACGCTTGGAATCTATAGCGAACAAGTCTCCTCAGAGGCACCATCCTTAAAAGAATGGGATTTGCCTTGTTTTAGGTCGTGTCCCATCCTGATGCTGTTTGGCTTCCCAAAAGTTTTACTTTCCTGAAGAACTTGAGCTTCTCAAGCAATAGTTTTGTCTTACGGGCTCTCTAAGAAACAGAAATCTATTCAAACTAATACAAATGAAAATGATAACGTTATTGCAGGGTGTGGAGGTTTCTAATGGGAAGCAGCCAAGCCGCACGAGAGATGGGAACCACAGCTGGAGAGCCAGGCTGCTACTTGTTCTCTGGCCTCTGGCTCCTCACACATCTGTTTCATTCTTCTTTGCCGGCATGTGGACAAAACGGACCACTCGGGGCAGACCTGTGTGTGTGTCCTCTGTTCAGGGCCTCAGGGCTGATTACTGGAGTATCCTAATTGCAGATTCTTAGGAGAGAGACCCTGATTGGCTCGGCTTAGGTCAGTCATCTACCAGTCAGCTGTGGCCAAGTGGGTCCACGGCCCAATCAGAAGGTTCTTCCCAAGAGGCGTCTTGGGAAGGGTCCCTGCTGGTCACTCTTCCCTCTGGCACTGTCCCAACCAGTGAAAACAATGAAGTGTCGTGAGTCACACCGATTAACGTGCCCTGCCTGTGACCACAGCTGCATGGAGGGACGCCCCGGGGACAACAGAAGTGGGCATCGAGAGTTCCCATTAATCATCCCGGTAATGAATGTCTGCTGCCTTCCTTCCTCTCTGGGGCGCAGTCAGAGCGTGTGTGCTTGTTTGCTGCTGTATTCCCAGTGCGGAGCGGGCTGGTAATGAAGATGGAGTGATTAGACGAATAAGGAAACAAATGGCCCCCATTCAGGAATCCCCCACCAAATAATGGTTGAACATCTACTGTGTGCCAGGCACAATTCCAGGGTCTTCAGTTCCACCAAGGAACAGACGGGCAAAGGTCCTTGTTCTCCTGGGGTTTCTGTTCTCACCGCGTTGGCTGGTCCTGGCCCCACATCCCAAAGGGGCTTGGTCATTAATCGCGCTTGGAGCCACCCTCTGTGGCCTGGGTTCAGCCATTCCAAGGCTGAGGTCTGTGGACACTGCATCGGTCGCGTCAGGGCCTGCAGGTGGAGCTCGGCGTGGATCTGAGGGACCGGCGGCGGCCCTCGGCTTGGCCCCGGCCCCTCCCGCTGCCCTGACCTGCCGGCTCGCTCTCTGTCCCTCCCAGGTCATGCTCTCGGAGCGGAAAGGCACAGACGAGCTGTACGCCGTGAAGATCCTCAAGAAGGACGTGGTGATCCAAGATGACGACGTGGAGTGCACGATGGTGGAGAAGCGGGTGCTGGCCCTGCCCGGGAAGCCGCCGTTCCTGACGCAGCTGCACTCCTGCTTCCAGACCATGGTAACTGGGCTGGGGGCCCCGACTGCCCCCCGCTCCGGGGTGTCTGCAGGCTTTTCAGAGCCATCCCAGCAGCACCCACCCCACAGACAGGCCTGGGTTTTTCCCATTCTGGGGACAGGAACATGTGGGGGCCCAGGGAAGGCTGCTGAGAATTTCTGAGAAGCGCCCTCCCCGGAGGCAGATGCTGTCTCAACAAAGATAAAGGTGCTCAGGCAATTGGTTTTACAACCAACAGAGCAGGGCCCTTCTCTGACAGCAGGAGGTGACTTGGGGACAGGCACTTGGGACTTTCGGTCTCACGAGATGAGAGTAATAGCAGAACTGGGTGGTTAAGGCAGCCCCAGACCCTCCCCCATCCTTTCTCGGTTATCTTCCTGACCCCTGTCCTGGGTGGGCGCTGTTACTGTCCCCAGTTTATAGATAAGGACGCTGGTGTTCCGAGAAGTTCGGTCCCTCGTGCAGTGTCACACAGTAGGTAGCGGTGACGCTGGGAGTGGCTCTGCAGGACTCCAGGACCCCAACCTCGGAGGCCTTGCCACCCTGCCTGTGCCTCAGCTCTATGTTCCTTCTAGTTCGTAAATTATTGTCACTCTCATGGTCACACCTCACTTTCACAAGAACCGCATATACGCAGCTACTACTGTCCCCATTTCCGCCCAAAGGAAACGGAGCCTCGGGGGTGAAAAGGGCAGGTGTCCTGATGCTCTTTGGGGGTTCTTTGTACTATGAAAGGGTCACCTACTTACCCCACAAGGACAGTGGAACGATTATGGTGCAAATGATTTTACAGTGGAGGAGGGGCCTGCGTGTATCTGAGCGAACCGTTGTGAGCATGGCAACGGGGGGGCCAGGCGGGAAGTGATGCCCCTCCCTGGGGAAGGCCTGTGAAGGGGGTCACCTGGCTACTGCTCACCTTCTAGAAGAGCCCATCTCCTAGGTTGGTGCTGCAGAGCGGGTGGCATCCTAGGCTACAGCAGGCAGCATCGCCGAAAATCTGGTCATTGCTGCCAAGACACAGGACACCAGTGCTTATTGATTCTGGCCGCAAATGGTGATTTGGTGGCGTAAGTGTGTCAGGACACAGCTGCATCACTGGGGGGGGGGGACCTCAGTGAGGAAAAGGGATAAAGTCCCCATTCCTTTGGCATTTACTCCCTCACGGGGGGACACAAAATATAAACAATAGCCACCTTAAAAAACAAAGGGGACAGAGATGGAAGGATTGGGACAGAGATGCTGTTTTGGATAGGAGGACCAGGGAAGGTCTTTCTGAGAAGGATGACATTTCAGCAAAGACCAGAGCCAGGGAGGGAGCAAGGCCTGTGAGTTACGTGGGGACCAAGTGTTCTAGACAGCAGGACGAGGGAGCGTAAGTGCCTGAGGCGGGAGCATGCCCAGTGGGTTTGAGGCGCTGCCAGGAGCCCGCTGTCGCCCGAGTGGCTTGTCATTTTGTATTTCGTGACCCAGAATTCCTTTATGAATCAGCTACCTTTTTTAAAAAAAAAAATGACAACTCTGGTATAACATGCTGCAAAGTGGATATGTTCGTCTTGCCAGAGACTTTGAATTTTGAAGATGAGACATCCTTAACAGGATAAAAAATATATATATATCCTGAAGGCGGTCAACTTAGATAAAAGGGAAAAAAGACACCCACCAATATACAAAACAACTTTTGTCATTCTGACAACGATGCAAATTTAATTACTAAAAACTTATTTAGGAAAGTGGAGTTACATCGGACGTATTCTTAGACAATTGGATCAAATAATCTTGTAAAAGTATTCATGGTACGACGTTAGCAGAAAAATATAGGCTGTTCACTTCTATTTAAGAGAGTATTCTAAATGTGTTCAAACGAACGTGTGCATAGAAAAGAATCCAAAGATGACATAGATGGAATTGAAACATTGATTTTGATTTAGGGAGTTAGGGAGGGCTCTGTGGGTAATTGTCTTCATTTTGAATTTGTGTGATTTCAGCAGCGTCTGTAACAAAACAGCTTACAAAGTGTTGCATGTGCCACAGAATGTGCCAAACGTCAATACCCAAATAGCTGCGACAACCATCAGAAGGGGGTTGAATTTTTAGAGCCGCTCATTAGATGAACTGGTCTTAGGTGAGTGGGGTTTAGGCAAATGGTTCTAGCCACACAGAGGGCTGTGCACAGCTCCTCAGCGAGGCCTGTGTCACCTCCAGGGAGTCGCTTCACAGCTCGGAATATTGCTTTCATTGTCTTTAAAGTGGGCATAATGAGTGAGGATTAAAAGAGGTTATGTACTGAGTGCATAAGGAGCAGTCAGTGGAGGCCACCTGCATTATTGGAGCTGCGCTGGGGGGGTGAAGGGGAGCCTCGCTGCATAGCCCGCAAAAGGATTATCTTTGTCCTGGGGGCAATTGTCAGCCGGGCACATTCATGCAATTTCCCGACTGCCAGTGGGCACAGGCAGTTAAATCTCCTTAGCAAAACATCTATTTTAAATGTTTTCTTTTCAATTGAACATATGCACTTCTTCTTTTTTTTTTTTAAATAGAATTAGATTTTATGAGTCATTGAAGGACAGAAGTTACTTCCTCCCCAAATTTGCTGCCGTGGCCCAGCAAGAACTCAGCTGCAAGGCATGCTGGGAGCGACATCCACCCAAAATGCAAGAGGGGACAGGGCAGGGGATGGGAGAGATTGTGCTTGGAGAGTTGGCCCCTGACGGCCTGTCCATGGAGCACTAAGAGTGTCCAAGTTCTGGTAACTCGGTCGGCAGCAGTCCCCGAGGATATGGTTTGATGGAAGGACATGGCTGTAGGAAACGGTGGCTGTAGCCTCAGTCAGCGATGGTTGGGTTGCAAGAAACAGCGTGCTCCCTTCTCCAAATTACGTCACGCTTCAAAAGGAAAAGGGATTTTATTGGACGGAAACAACCAAAGGCAAAGCCGTACCCGAGCCTCCTGAAGAACCAGAACTTGTAACTTCAAAGCTTTCTAGCCTGAATCTCATGCCTTTCTGCTTGTTGCCTTGTGTTTCGCCATGCTCACGGTATCGTGGCTTCTTCCTTACCCTTGCCCTTTGCCTAGCTGCCAGATTCCCCAGGTTCCCATGCATACTCATGGGAAAGTTCATCTGATTGGTTCAGCGCAGGGCACGTGTTTTATTCGTGGGCCAATCAGCTGATGTTGGGCTACTGCCGACTTGGTAGGAACCCCTAAGACAAGGGTTTTAGCTACAGAAAAGAAATAATTGGTGTTTGTATCAGGTCAGAGACTTCGTCTTGAGCCCAAGAAGACTGAGTTTCAGGAACAGGACACAGCCTGCTGTAGCCTTGCAAACATGGCATTCAGTGAAGAATAGAAGGAGGGAGAGGCAGAGGAAAGAGAGGAAGCTGGGGAGAGCTTAGCAGGTGTCTGGCCTTCAGGCAACTGAAGGTATTCCAGGATCACGGCTGCAGGAAAGGACGCAGGCATGCAACCAAGGCAGATAAAGCTGGGGCACGTGGGAAGAGCACCCAGCCTGGCTCTCTCTGGCTTCCTGGGGGCGGCCCTTGCATATTCACTCAGGAACCAAAGGTCCGTGGAATCCTGGAGAAGAGAGGTGGTTCTTGCCCTGAAGGAACTTCTCTCTGCGTGGAAGGACAAGGTGTAGAAAGCTGTGGCAAGGTCAGAGGGGCGTCCGCTGCGTGGTTCTGATGGTGAGGCTCAGGCTGGAGGGAAACGGCGTGCGATGCTCATCGCTGGCCACACACTTCCCTGATGAGGCCCTGTTAGTTTGCAGGCCTTCATGTGTGTCCTCTGATATGTCTTTGCAACACCCCTATGAAGGAGAAGCTATGATTCCCCGCTTCCGGAAGGCAGAGGAAGCTTAAGTATCTGATGCAGTCTCTCACAGTGGTAACCAGTGTAGCCAGAACTTGAACCCAGGACCAGCTCATGCCCATCAGAGCACCACACAGCCACTCGAGAGAAACAGACAGATCTGAGCCATGAGAGGAACAGCTTCCAGACAGGATTAACTCACGGACCAGCCTGGAAAATCAGTAAAAATCAGTAAATAGGTAAACGCTTATTGCCACTCACCTTAGAGGCACACGGTCCACGCTCTTAGAGTTGCTCGGTGTTGATTTTCTCTGTCCATTTATCTTATTAAAAGGGGCAGGTGTCCCCCTGGCTATCACATGGGCATCACATCACAGCCCACTTTCAGTTGTCTTGGAAGAAGAATGATGATCTCTTTGAATTCTCTCCCCCGACTCCCCCACCCCAGGGGAGTCCTGCCTGTCCCACCCAGCCAGCATTTTCAATCAGGCTGTCCTCATACTCACGCTCCAAATTCAGGAAACTGTCCAACCATTTTGCTTGATGTAGTGACAGATATTTAATTCTGTTGATTTACTGGTTGAATATGAGAGAGAAAGGAGAAAGGAAACAATAATAACAAGGGCAATTTGGAAGAAACACGTTAGAAGTTGAGCACACTGGCTAGATTGAAGAAAAAGATGGTGAGCTCACTTCCCTGAGTGTTTAATTGGCGTTGACAGTGCAACGCCCACATAGAAACGTCCTGTAGCCAGCTGAACTGACCAGCGCCCAGGAGACCGGGAGAGTGCAGACATGGAAGTCAACAGTCATCAGCCCGGAGAGATGGGAGGTGAAGTTTTGAGCTGTGACAAGTCTTGGGCAGGAAGGAGAGAGCCAGGCCGGGGCTCGTGTTGATAGTCAATAAATACTTTGTGACTTTCATGTCATACACAAATAGGTCCTCATCAAAATCTTCTGCCTGGGGGCGGCCGGTGAGCTCAGGTGGTTGGAGCTCAGGCTCATAACACCAAGGTTGCCGGTTCAATTCCCACATGGGCCAAGGAGCTGCACCCTCCACAACAAGATTGAGGCAATTGCTTGACTTGGAGCTGATGGTACTGGAGGGACACACTTCCCCAATAAAATTTTTTTTAAAAATCAACTGCCTGTGGCGATGAGGTTCTTCGGAGGCCTTGAAATAATGTCATAGGAAG